ATATAATGGAGAGCAAGAGAACACAAGAAGGATCTTTATCTATGCTGTACTGATTACAGCAAGAGCTGTAATCTTTAATTCATCAGGGTTATATGTTTAATCCTTAAATTAAATCTTTTAATCCATCCATTCCAGAAGATCTCTCCCCACTTGGAGCAAATTTGTGAGGAGCAGACAGAACAGTGAAAACTGTGTCCACAGGACAAAATGAGCTTTTATTAGTAAAAGGACACCCAATAACATTTATTAATTTAAATAATTTATAAGATCACCCATCTTGCAGCAGTGACTTGGGGTGGGACACAAACATTTAAAACCCAAACAGTTACAAACAACAGCCCATGATGCCCAGGGTAAATAATACATTCCAACCATAAAATCACATCAGGAACAGAACTTGCCTAACTTCCTGGCCTGAACCCTGGGGAAACAAACTGGCTATCTAATTACCAATGACCAATCAGTAAGTGCAAATGGGTGAATATTTATGGTTTCCTCAAAATAATTCTTGAAAAATTAATCAGCTTGGATTCATGAACATCATGCAGATTGGGTGGAAAATTATTAAAAGAATTATTAGCCTTAGGTTAAATGGCATTCATTTTGCAGCTCATGGCATTACAGAATGTCTTTGATAAGCAGGTGTGTGGAAACAAATCACTTTCTTTCTATACCAAATCCAGATTCTCTATCCCATATTTGGCTGCAAGCTATTCACTATTGGCAGCTATGAATAGCTTCTGTTTCACAATACCATTATATACCTTTGATGAAGTTTTGAGAGCTGTTGTATAAACACATCTGCTTCTTGCTCCTAGACAAAGCCATCAAACATATGTAATTCAAAAACACGTAAGGATAAAAAAAATCCTTCCACAAACATTCAGTTCTTGTGTCTATTTGTGCTACAGAAACAGCAGAAAAACCCCAATGTTCCATGTCTGGAGAGGCAGCCTCTGATGAAGCTTTCTTCACTCTACCCAGCACTGAGCTACCTGACAAGTGTTCAGCAAAATGGTAGCTCCATTCCTACTTGCTAATGAAGTTGCTTAGCATTTTAGAGCTGTTTTCAGTATCTGTACATTTCTTGATACTTCCTGAGGCCGCTGTTGCAATCTAGATGCTTTGGAAGACATGGAGGCACATGTGTAGCACCTCTCTGCAATTCGACAAACCGACCATGTCTTTTCATGGAACCATGCTGCAGCTGTGGAAGATAGCTACAAGATCCTGGGAAAAGATGGATCTGGTTTAAAGACTTGCAGACATCTGCAACATGATCCAAAACACCCTTGGGTCTTTAAATCACAAGCGCTGCATAGTCCTAATCCAGATCATCTAGAAACAAACAGGTGCTAGTTTTAATCACCAAGACTAGAAAAGAATACTTAATATTCAGAGAAAATCTCTCATTCTCTTGAATGAGTCATGGCAGGGTTTCCTATAACAGGATGCAACTGTGAAAGAAAGTGGTATTATTGTGAAGGTTAATTATCAAGAAATCCATTACTATTGCTATCTTAAGTGGTGGGGTGTTTTAACACCCAGGAGAACTACTACATATGTTAGAGATGCTGACTCAAATCTTTCGTGTATGTGTCAAACAAGCTACTAGATGTTTATGCACACTGAAAACTGCAAATATATTCAGTTTTGATTAAAAAAAAAAAAAAGATTAGCTGGCTGTTTCAAGCAAATGTTGAATTTCAGGATTTGCTAATGGATTGGTACTGCTTTTTAAAAAATCAAATACCTTCTTGCTTAATTTAGCAAGTGCAGTATGAAGATGAAGAATATGCAGTATTCTTGACAACAAGAGAGGACAGTTACTAAGCAATTAATGATTCATCAATTTTGGTGATGCTAAACAGGCTTGGTTTTAGTCAGTTTGAACAGAAAGCTACGTACACTGTTCTGAGATCTATTATGGGGGATGAGGAGAATATAAATGTGATATTAGAGTTGAGCTTTGCAAAAAGTCTCTCCTTTCTGACAAATATCTATAACACAAAGAAAAGTATGAAAGACAATTTTAAACCGGCAGATACCGGCGAAGGTCAGCTAATTAGGAAGTATGATTAGCATAATCAATATTTGTTAAAGAATTTTATTACGTTCTTATAACTGGAAGATGCATTCTAAATTATGCATGCTATAAGTAAAATATTTGCTTTTTTGGTTAAAGGATTCTGGGACAAACAGTCGATTCAGGAAAAGTGCTTCTGTAGAATTTTATTAAATTCTTGGCTTTCTATGGAAATAACAGCATGAAACCTAAAGCTTCGTTTCATATTTATGTATGCGAGTATGTGTGTGTACACATGTTGGTACAACCAGAGCAGGTGGAAAACTTTTTGCAGCCCCAGATTTACTTCAAATGCTGATGCAGGCTTTCAAGGGCCCACGCTGTTCACATGTATACCTCCCCTTCATGAAGTTTGCCTTTTCTTCACAGCAAAGGGGAAGCAGATGGAATGGCAAAGGGACCATTTTGACCATAGAAAGTACCCATTTAGTGCAACTGAAATTTACCATAGCTGCTTAATTTTGGTGGCACAGGACAGTGAACACAGGACCTGCACAAAGGTCTTCCAGGGGCCACCTGCAGACCACAGAATTCATGCGGCCAGTCCCAGTTCAAATCGCCGTTCTCATCTGGCATAGCCAATGTCTATATTAACTTGGAATTCTGAGAATTGCATTTCTGCATATCTGGTTGGCACCAGTTTGGGAGCAGTTACTCTAGATTGTGATCGGAAATATATACAACAGTTCCTTTGAAGAGGGGCCCTTCCTAACCTGCTATTTTTTTGAATGACAATTAAAGAGAAATCACTACAGCATACCAATGAGTGCAAAATGAATTCAGTTACACATAAATTCACATAAAGAACCTAGTATAGAACTCTACTTCAGCTAAGAATGGCTCCTTAAAAATCTTACCTAGAAGCCTTTCCCAACCATTTAACAAAGATTTTTAACTCTCAGATTATTTAAAATGATTTAATTGAGATGTCATGATTATTTAACTGAGATGTTGAAGAATAAACCAGGGCTCACTGGAATTCTGGTTCCTTTCCAAGAATAGAACCATTCCTAAAAGAGGCCCCTTAATACCTGATTATTTTTTTCTTATTATTATCTAGGGCATACTTCTTACCCAGTAATTTTCTCATGTAGTAATTTCAACTTGTCTTGCATGTTTCTTAGAAACAAATCCCAGAACCTTCAAATTTAAGATTACAGTCCTAGGCTTGGATTTTCTGTGGTAACAGGTAAGAAATGCATCAGTTAAAAGACTGATTGCAATCTAGTGTGAGTCATGGTTAACAAAATTGCTCTAAGTCTTTACACAAACAACCCAATCCGATACAGAGTTAGATTTCCATTGGCTCAAATGGCCTTCTTTCTTATATATAATGGCATGTGGGAATGGCAGGAAGGAGAACCACAGACTGGACAACCAGCATGTAAAAGATGTCTCAGCCCACAGAAGGGAGGATTGGCATGGGAAATGTTTCAGAAAAGACCCTCCCTAGTTTTCCGGAGAACAAAGGGAAAGGAGGGAGAAATATTTTCAGTCTTGCAAGTTTGTTAATGCAACCTCACAGTAAAGATGAACTAGTACTCCTGGTTGTGCTTCTTGACTGGACTACCTTGCAGAGCTAACAATTCTTATAGCAGGGGTGAGCAACTTATAGTCCCAGGACTACAGGTATCCTCAAACTCCTTTTTTGCATTCCTTGGTGGCCTGTGTTACGGGAAAAAAAGCAGTGTCTCCTTTGAAGACAAGAAACATGAAAAGTGTTGTGTCAGCCTGAAAATAGGTTTAATGTATCTTTTAAAAACAAAGAAAGCCCACTAAGTGACAGCAAAAAGAGAAAATTATGACCCTGCTTAAATATACAATATAATACTATTTTTCACCAGTATTCCACTCAGTATAGCATGGCCTCCAGCTATCCAAGGGTTGCCTTTCCCTGCTACATAGGATCAGATTCTATGGAGAGATAAGTTATTAATATGACTACCATTAAAGATAGTATATAATTTATTCAGTGAATACATACTGCTAACATTTTAACAGCATGCAAGCATCAAAAATTGTAATGGCCAATAACAAATGCATGACTGTTAAAGTCTTTCCCCAAGAAACAAGATCTTGACTTTGCAGTACTCAAGGGAAAAGTGTCCTGTGGATGTGCTGTGTTTCTAAGATGGTATGTGTGTCTTGGAAGTACAGTGTGAAATGGGAACTCAGAGCTGTGGAAAGGAAAGCAGATAACCCCTGCATTATGCTGCTCTGTTAAGCGGCTTGGGAAGGCTTGGACACAGCCTGATACAAATCAGTTGCTTCCCACACTTGAGGCTGGGCAGTGGAAGCTGTACTCTGAAGAGCTGCAATCACCTACAAAGCACAAAACCAATTTTCTGAGAAGATTTATCTTTTTCAGCTCCAAGTTCAAGAGAAAGCTGTGGCTTTCATTTTATCACACTGCATTTAAAGGCAGAGCTTAAAATATCAACTCTGCTAATCATCCCAAACTCTTACTAAGTCACGATCTGAAAGAAGGCTGGTCCCATTCTGCTGTTCAATGAAGGCTGAGTATTTGCTAAAGTAGGTAGAACTGCAAAATCCAAATGACTCTAAATTGTATTAGAAGAGGTTACATGGTCTTACCTTTTGGCACAGCCACAATTAATTCAGGTACCTTATATTATTAAACATACATACCTTCACACACAAAAGTGTATATAAAAGAACTGAACTATACTCATGTAACTTATCTTCCCAAATTTGCCTCTTCCAATTAAAATTCAACAAAGGCTGCCTACAGCCAAGTAAAAATATATCCAGTACAACATAATTACCTATCCATGCCAATTCTTTCCATCTCCTATTACTATCCTACTGTCAAATTCTAGAAATTAGGAATATACTGTACATTGATCAGAACAAAGGACATTTAACAAAGACATAAGACTGATAAAGGTAATACCTGGTAAATCAGAAAACAGCAAAATGCACTCATTGAATCCATTGGAGAGAAGCCGATCCCTCAGCTGTTGCAGAATAGCCACTCCAATACAGAATGGGAAAGAAGAATTTCCCAGTAGCAATGTATCCCACAGATGAAATATTTTGTGCAAAGGGAAGACATCTGCAAGGCAGCCAGCAGAGAAATATCAATTAAGAAAGAATACTTGTCAGTTTTTTTGTAAGGCTAAATGGATAATCAGGCAACAGGCAAAAGAGAGTACAAAAGACTTGGAGTCTTTTTTGCATAGAATGCAGATAGTGCACGGGAGAGGAACAATCCCACAATAAGTATAAATGAGAAGAGCCTCTGAAGCAGCCTCTATTGTGCATCAGGTTTTAGATAGCAATGTAGGTAATTATGAAAAAGAAAAAGAAAAAGAAGGGTTTTAATAGGGATATTCATGAAACCTGTGGCCCAATCATATCTGACTGATGTATTGTCGAAGGCTTTCACGGCCGGCATACGATGGCTGGTGTGGGTCTTCCGGGGTGT